CTAACTAAGCTGGGTTACATGTTTCACGTACAATTTCATTTTCAAGTCTTTCTACACTACTCTTTGGACTGTCATAGCTGAAACTCCTCTCTCACGTGCCAGACGTCTTATGGATTGAGTTGGATCTTTTCTAATTGATCGCATTACCTCTAAGATCAAATGTGATTGGTGTGACATCCTGATCCAGTTTTCCTCTCTACTGTTCCTTTTTTAAAACTTATTCACCGTTCTCTTGAGGGTTCTTGAATGCACTACGAAGAGAGAAGCCAGAGGACGAATGCTGGTACCATTACTGAAGGCCTGAATGATCTTTTTCCTCTCACCATTGCTCATTTGTAAAATAGTGAATCTGACTCAAAACGATTTTAACCTTTTTCTCTTTTTAGCTGAATAACTCAAAGGGTTTTTCAGTGGTTCTTAGAACAAATGGTGTCAAGATGGCTAAACGATTTATCTAAAAACGTGGAAGAAAAGAAACCCAGTTAATTTAGTAGATTTTTAGTTATTAAAACTTTCGTAGGATGCACAATTATGCTGTAACACGATCTGGACAATTTTGCTGTTACACCCAGTATATATATATATATAGTTAAGTTATGAAAAACTTGGTAATCCGTATGGGTAGTCCCAAGGAGGATGAAATCCTGAGAGCTCAATGTAAATCCAAAACTAATAATTTAAAGAAAAACAGAGCATTTTATGGTTCCATTATAATAATTTATTTCACCAGAGGCCTCTTAAAGGACACTGGATCATCAGATAACACTTCCCAAAAAGTGTTATCTGATGATCCGGCGTCCTTTAAAAGGGCTCTGGGGAAATAAATTATTATAATGGAACCTTAAAGTGGCCTGTTTTTTCTTTGATATATATATATATATATATGTGTGTGTGTGTGTGTGTGTGTGTGTGTGCGTAAAAATTCCAGATATAACTAAAATATCTATCTGTTAAAGGACAATATGAATAAAGACAAAAGGAAAACATCTTTCGTACTTTGATGGACTTTATCAAGGCAGGTGTAAGGATTTTATTTTCAGGTAATATTTATAAACAGAATAAAAAATGATGTTACTTCTTTTAAAGTTCTTAAATTGAAAATACGATCAAAAATATGCATCAGGTTAGCATCAAATATCTTCATTCCTGAGAGAATTAACCTTTAATTATATAATGAAAGAAACGATAAAGATGCAGGCACCCTTAAATTTAATTTTTGAATTCCAGTCGTACGCCTAGATTCACCATTAAACCGGCCGCGTTCGACTTCCTGTCGTTTTCATAGCTGTTTTTAGCGATGTTGTTTTTAAATATCATTATTCAATCGGAAGATAACCAGATAATAAAAAACTGACCTGTAAAACTGGAGCTGCCCCTACCTTTTCGAAAATCGAACCCATGTCTACCTTTTTTTATTCTAGTTTAGAACCAAACTTGTGTCTAGCATTTGTATCTAATCAAAAACTTCACCTATGTCTACTTTTTAACTCAAGTGTTGATACAAAAAATAATTATAGCATCAAAAATAATTATAATAAAATAATTATAAAAATTATAATTTTCATGAATTCACTCATTCTGAACTAATGAGAATTAATCCCACTTTTTTCCTCCGCACACACAAACATGTGATATCATCACTATCGGACAGACAGTCAACACGTCGGTCAATGAAAATTTCGGCTCTTTTCCTTTTTCAGGATACAACATTTGTTTATTCAACAAAAATCCGAAGTAAAAACAACTACAGACAGTTTATTTTCTAACTAAATTATCTGGACACTCATTACACACATGGATAATAATAATAATAATAATAATAATAATAATAATAATAATAATAAAAACATATGAAAAGTTTGTTTAGACGTCAGTCGTTCTTTATATTATCATTAGATTCCGGTCCATATTTAATCTAGATTTGTCCCCAAACTCACAATTTTATTCAGTATTACTATCACCCGTTTTTCTACACAGCAACCAGATAACAACTAGATAATAATAATACTCGTTTTGCTGTTTCTCATTGTTTCTCTTTTTTATGGGTATTTTGTATATATAAATGTTGAGGGAGTATAATGTTTTATTCAGATTTATAACTCCACTACAAACTTAAAACTGTGCTTTATGTCTACCTTTTTTGCCTCACGCCGAAAGCAGCGTCTATGTCTTCTTGATGGCTCAAGTTCAAAACCGGGCCTATATCTGACGACATATTTATTTGCGATTATTGTTCTATAAAGCTTATACTCAACATTAATTTACCCAGCATATGTTGCTAAATAAAACGACTTAACAAATTTAACGAACTAATGAATACGTGTATATGTATGTGTGTTGAGTATGTCTACGCATTAGTTCATAACGTCTGAGGTAACGAAAGTTTGTCAAAGTTAGTTTGAGATGCGTTGTCCAACTCTATCTGGTAAAGCAAACACAGTTGATGATTAGAGATCTGTCGAATTCATTTTAGCAAATTTTTTTGTCTGTAAAGATAGTGAGCGTTTGTTATTTTTCGTTTTGTTTTTGTTTAATCTTTCAACTTCTTAGGGCGCCATCTTTGCCGCGTGAAGGAATCTACGCAGTCGCCTTCTGTTGACGGATAATGGTTCACATCTCTTTTTCTCAATTTCAGCCTCCTTTAGCCTCATTATATCTATCTCACACACGCTCTATTTAATCTCTGTCGATGTATGCGTGCGCATGCCTGTTTAAGCGCATGCGCGAATACGCATGTCTTTTTCTCGTGTAATAATGCGAATAGTTTGGAGGTAAATAACAAAACCTGGAAAAAAGAAACTCAATTAGTTTAGTTTTTTTTTTTAGAAATTAAACAATTTGTGGAATGATTTCATATAAGACGTCTAGTAATTTTCTGCTTCACCCGATATATATATATATATATATATATATATATATATATATATATATATATATATATATATATATAGTATTTTCGGTTTACAAGAGGCTGCAGACTGGAAGACGCACCTAATATTAGAAAGAAATTTCTAAGAAAAAAACATACAACAACACATTCACCATGCGTCCTTCACATATTAGTGTCACGTATTGTTTATATTAATCAGTCGTCCGATTTTGGTTGTATGACATACTAGTCAAGAGCAGAAAAGCTTCCGCCGCTGCTAGTAAACAGAGCATGTTTAAGCATGTGGCTCGGCTCCAGGAAGGTTTATAGACTTGGAACTACTTGTAACAGCCAAGTACTGAGTTTTCATGCTTACTTCACCATAGGCGTTGCCTTTCATTGGTCTTGGAAGGCGCACACGTATTTTTCAGGGTATTTGTTTAGGATAAAGTGCGTCTTGTAAGCCAGAAAATTATATATATATATATATATATATATATATATAAGTGGACATTGAGACCAATTTCTAGGGGGAACTGTCTGTTTCATTAGTAACGCAACATTCAAGCAATATATATGATTTGGCATTTATATACATCAGGTTTATAATATATTAAAAGATTACCTTTCACCGTGGTGCACCGATAGCTTAGGGGTAGATACTCTGATTGATGCCAAATCAGTCGAATTTAAATCGGA